GTTATTAACAAAGTTTGTGTACTCAGACCAGGAATATTTGGGGTCACAAGTTTTTGCCATGGATATTTTGTGGGTCAGAAGATAAAAAGTTTGGGAACCACTGGCCTAGGGCACCAAAATGGCTAGAGCCGGCACTGCAGATAACTGTGAAAATGTAAGAAGCAGAAGTAAAAAGTAGGCTGAAAAATAATTACACAAGGAAAGTACAGGTACCCAAAAATTCTACTTAAGTACAGTAACAAAGTATTTGTACTTAGTTACTTTACAACTCTGTATTTTGACATTTCATTGAAATTATATATCTGTGGAATAAAATATCAAATGGTATGCAGAAGAAAGTTACAAGTAAAAACAACGATGTTTAGAGAAATTGTTAACTTGGGCAGATATTTATTTTATTTTGTTTTATTTTATTTTAATTTTATTGCGGTCTTTGATAGCTTTTTCACAATGAGATGCGGGACAGTTGAGGGTTCGGGGGGAGTGACAGCGACGTACAGTAAAGTGACGTTCCCATTGGTCACGTGACTCTGTACAGTAAGCCCAACATGGCAGACGGTGTGGGTCGCTAACTAAAGGCAACATTTCAACTAAGACTGTCAAATTAAACACTACTCCGCAGGAGGACGTACGCAATGAGGGAGAGCCAGAAGAAAAAGAAGGGGAGGACATGGGCGGAAGCCGCAAAAACGGTACGCTGTTCGTTTTTAAGTTGCGTTTGTTGTGGTTGTTTTCCCTGAACGCTCCCACTTGTTCAACTGTGTTGATGAGTTCATGACCTGCTGGTGGAGAGGAGATGTTGCGTACAATCCGCGCAAGGCCTGTGTTGACGTTTCGGACTGTTGTCACTRCTAGCCGCGTTGCTTCCTTTAAGCAGTGTATTTTGTGCAAATACGCATTTGTGCAAATGTCAGCTGTATTCACTAAAGCACGTCTCGAAACCCGTTCCCTGTGTTTTAAGCGTACATTACACATGACAGTTGAACTCGAATGAAGTAATCACGATAATCACGTCAGTGGTGCGTTAGCAGTGGCTAGCTAACGCCRAGTCCGACAGCAAGTTTGTTTATACCAAGTAAAGTTATAGTAGTAAAACCTACGAGTTTGTTAGTGTGCTAATTCAATATATATTGTTTTTACATAAATTACCGATGTCAATGTTATGTGTAACATGCCAGCCTGTCTCAAAAGGCTGTAATTAGCATACAAGCTAGCTTTACAAGCGTAGCATGCTATGCTTGGAGACTCACAGTAGCCACAGTTTTATATTAATTATAAAAGTATATCCTAATAACTTGTAGCCACCTGCTATTTAATTAAGAATGCGTTTTACTTGGTTACCTTTAGCAAGTAGTTTCAATTAATATAAGCAGTAATTATGTAGCTAANATAGAAAATAGTGTCACTAGCGCCCCCTTCATTTCCGGAATGCAATAGTCCCATTTCCATATAAGGTATGGGACTGACGGAAAGGTCTGTCACCGCCCCGAGCTGCATGCTGCAGCGAAGTGTACTTGGAATAATCTGAGGATTGAGATGACAAGGCATGAAATGAACACTAGATGGAAGCACAAGACAAGAACAGAAAACACCAAATCCTCACAATTAGGAGGTGGCCTCCCAAAAAAATGCAGAAATGACTGTATTAAAATAAGTAATTTATATTAAATTTAGTCTAGCTGTTTCAGTTTATATACATTTATCAAGGGTGCCCAAAACCTTTCCCTAAAATAAACATCTATCCGAGGGCTGCAGCCAAATACATTAAAATAGTTCATGAAATACAAATACTTCTTAAGTACAGTCCTTTTATTTATGTCCTGCTGGAGTGTGATATGATTCGTTTGTGTACAAACTAATATGGTATCAGAATTTTATATATTTATACTTCTCATTCAACCACAATTAAATCCACTCTATCTAGAAGGCAAACTTTATATGGATATTATTTATTCTTTTACAATAACAAGCTGGAATGAAAACAAGCAATAATGAAATAAAAATAATGACTTTCTACTTCTTGCCTTGTTTTAAAATGTAAGGAGTAGAAAGTACAGATAACCAGAGCCGGCTCTTGGCATAGGCGAACTAGGCGGTCGCCTAGAGCACCATCTGCTGGAGGGGGCRCCAAATTGCAGAGGAAAAAAAAGTAATTATTTGTAATCTCTGGTTGTAACTCAGCTCAGTGCTCCTTTCAATTAGCTTTGTCTTAAAAAACTATATTGAAGTATTACAGGAAAAATAAACATCGCTACCCATAAAACATTTTCTCCCCCCAATGCAGCAATCRCCCCCACCCTCTCTGTCATTTGATTGACGTTGCACTGACTCGTCCTGCTCTGACACTCTGATGGGGGAGGGGSTAGTAGTGCCTCTCAGGTAGCGGTTCGTGTTGACAAACTCAATAACAATTCTGTATTTTGTTGTCCCATACATGTCAACCTCTTCAGATGTTTACCTGTATAAAAAGCCGCAAAAATGCGTAAATTTTGCAAAAAATCCATACGAGGTTATCAGCCTCACTGGGGACATGAAAGCACCCGCTGCAAAGCAGGAGGAAAGGAGAGCGGAAAAAGTTCAAAACTTATTTCTACCAGCAGTACAGGTTGGAAGGTGGCTATTTAATGTCATTTATCCATCCATCCATCCATC